TTTTTTTTTTTTTTTTTTTTTTTTTTTTTTTTTTTTTTTTTTTTTTTTTTAAAAATTTTGTTAAGGGTTAACATATTAAGACTGGTTTTGAAGGAGCAAAGGTACATTCCCATGTGTTGAGTTCATAAGAGGCTTTTCTCCACCCTGCTTAAGATCTGTCTTTGTTGGGTGTTGGATTTTGTCTGCCTGTGCTGCAAAACTCAGAGATGTCCTTTGCTTGGCACAACTCCATCCTCTTGTTCTCCTGCTGGTTGGGGACCTCCAGGGTGGGGCGCAAATGTATGTCTGCAGCAGATGATAGTGCTTCAGAAAGTGCATGTTACATGTCAGTAGTGTTACAGAAAACGTTACCTACAGAGCTTGGGGCTTTTTTACAATTCTGTATTTTTTTAGGAGATAAGTGAAAGCTCAAACAGGATTCCTCTTTATAGTAGCTACACAGGACACTGTATAGTCTTTCTCCAGAAAAACCTTCTCCAGAAAAACTTTAAAACTGGTGCCATGCCTTTTCTTCCCATGCACTATGCTTATCTGGAAGCCCTGGTATCTCAAAACACAGTGAAGTGTGAGCCCAGCGGGCAAAGGCAGAGCAGCGCTGGGAGCATACCTGGCACCAGAGCTGTTGTGCACTCCTGAGGCTGCTGGGTTTGACTCCCTCACTTCCCTTTCCTTGCTGAGGTTGTTGAATGAGTTAATTTGCTCAAGTCTGTTACTGCAAGTCACTGGGACTCCCATACCTATGTCAGTGCCTATTTTTTAAGGTTAATCTTGTAAGGTCAAATGGGTCTGTATGGGCAGTTTCCCCTCTGAGTGAAAAGTCTGTTGTTCTTCCTCCCAACGAAGCAGTTAGCAGAGTGATGGAGGATGCTAAGATGCTAAGTTGCAGTAACAGGGTTGGGAATTGCATGGGTGAGGAGCCTGAGCCAAAAATCAGCCGTTTGGTAGGCACAGTAGCTGCAGAGTGCCCCAAAGCGTGTTCCCGCTTGTTAGTGATGGATGCCAGAGGCGTCCTGCCCTCAGCCTGGTGTCGCGAGTGAGCTCTATGGAGGTGGAAGGGCAGCAGTGTTTGTGTCCTGGTTACCTAATAGTGTTTGGAAATACAGTAGTTGTTGGAGAGAGGCCTCTGACTTTCCTTCTGTCTGGCATAGCAGTTCCTTGGTCCTCTCCTCTCCCACATCCACCAACTAGATTTGGCATCAGGAGAAGCCCCTTCAAACCATGTGATCTGGAGTTCACATGGAAAACTGAAAGACTGTAGCACCCCTGGGAGATGCAGGGCTGGGCTTGGCAGGGTGGTGGCAGGGCAGAGGGACACTGATATTCCCCACTTCTGCTGTTGGAGGAGAACTGGGGGAGTACATTTGCAGCTGGGCTTCCTGTGGATGTGTTTGCCCTGAACACCAGACCCCTCTCTGAGGTGGCTGATGCTCCACTTCCCAGAGCCTGCTACTGTGTGTGGTGGTGAAATTTGCTGCCTGTTCTGGAAGGGAATACTTCTATCACTTCAAGCAGATCTCCTGCTGGCTTCGTGTGCTGTGCCTGTGCCCTCCTGGCCTCGTGTGCCACAGCCAGCCCTCCTCTCCATGCTGGAGGATCCCAGACTTTTTAGTCTCACCTCTTGAGGAGCTGCCTCTGGGTGGTTTAATTGCTTTTCTTTGACCGTCTGTAACACTGCTGTGCCCTTGTTGAAATCCAGAGACCAGAGCTGACTGCAGGGTGCAGTTGTGGATGTGCTGGTGTTCAAGAGAGCAACAAGTGATGCTCTGTCTTGGTCTCACTACTCCTGATGACTTTTTTTAATCTGCTGCTGCACCCTGACCTGTTCATTTTGTACAGTTGTCAGCTGTGGCTGGGATATCTTTCTTGAGTTATAAATGCCCCTTTGAATTAAACACTGTAAAGTTTTCCATAAAGAGATGAGGGTGATGTTACCACTGCAAGGAAGTAGTTTTTAATCCTTTATAAAGAAAAGGAGGGGAGATAGATCTTTAAATTAGGAAAGTTCTGTGTTGCTCTCTTTTTTAATTGGGTATTCCTGACTTCTTTGAGAAGACTGATTTACTGGGTTGTTTTTTATGCTGTGTATTGACACAGGGGAGGCAGCCACCTGTAGCACTGAAATTACCTAGATTAGAGAGAGTGGTTTATGCACCAGGATCAATGTGATTGAGCACCCAGGAAGGAAGCTGGCAGGTTTTTTTTGTATCAAAGTTATTCAGAAAATCTGGAATTTCTCTGCATCTGGCTTAAGGTGGGAGGCACAAGTGAGGATGTTGTATTTTGTGCTTGGACAGCATGCCCTGAAATCAGCTTGGCTGAGGTACAGTAATCCTTAAGTAGCAAAAAAAGAAGCCTTTCTGCTTGCTCTCAAAGATGGCAGGGATATTTAAGTGCCTTGTCATGGTTTTAATGCTCTGGATTTGCCAGCTGGAGGAAGCCCCCATACCTGCGCTTAGTTTAATCCAGGTGCTTATGGGACTGTAAGATTTTTCTCAGCTCATTTCTGGAGACACTTTGCTTAGCAGGTGACCTAGGTCTGGCCTCCCTGAATTCCTGGGAGCGTTTGCTGCACTTGCTCTCCTGCCTCCAAATCACTCTTGCTTTTCTCCACCCCAGGAGACAGGGCTGGATTTCTGCCTGGTGGTGGCTCTGTGTTCCTTGGCTTCACAAGCTGAGCTGCTGCTCAGTCTCCTCATTATATGCAGTCAGGGAGGCAGGTTTGCAGCTGTCCTGGTGCAGGCTTTGAGGGTGAGGTTAAGTGGTCGCTGCGCAGGGGACACTCTGGTCCTACTGAGGTGCCTCTGCAAAAGCAGCCAAAGTCAGGTACGGGAATCAAAGCGGGAGGAACTAGGAATGATGTTACTTAAATTACGTCACAGTTTCCTTTCTAAAAGCCCCTTTCTTTGAGATGACAGGTTTTTCCAGAGGCATATTTTGTGCAGAGGTTGCACTTTAGCCTTGTACAACCCCTCACCCCCTCCACTGGCGCAGTGGGAGCTGTGCACTCTCCTCACAGACAGTGTGAACGCTTGGAGCTGGAGGGTCGCGGCAGGCGCTTGGCTCTCGATTCCTGTCTCTTCATTGTTAAATATTTACAGTGAGATGTACCAGATGCTTCCCAGGAAGGGTTTTGTCAGCTTCCAAGTCCCCAGCTGCAGCTGCAGAAGAGGCTGACGGCCATTAAAGGGATAATGTCAGCACGACAGTGACCTCCTCTCGCTCATGCTGTGGGTGCCACCGGTTTTGCTGTCTCGGTGGCCACAGTGGGATGTGGGCAGAGAGCACCCCTCTGCTGATGACAAGAGATTAATGATGTCTGGTCCTCAGGCTTTTGTTTTTCGTCTCCTTTGAAGTTGTTTCACTGCAGTGGCAGAGGGAGTGGGTGATGCTCTTGGATTTTGTTGCTGCACATCTTTTCTTCTGGGACTGTCTCTCACAGCAGTAGTGCCCATGTGTGACTCCTGCACGACTGCCTTCACTCCCTCTCTGTTCTTGGCATGACAGTGTCTGTCTTGTTCACCTATCCACCTTGTGGAGAGAGGGGTGGGCTAACAGGGAGGCAAATTCCTATCACCAGCTCTGGACATCACCAGCCCTGGGCATGCAGACTCCAGCAGGCTGGAGCATTGCTGCTGAATGCCACTCCTGTGATGGTCTCACTGGTCAGGTTTCCAGTGTGCCTCCTG